AAGAACTGGAGGTCTTTGTATTTCTTGACCTGAGTGGTTATGTTTGTATCTGCTTTGCATTAATTCATTGTTTTGTATGCTTCTCTTTATGTGTGTTATCCCCCCACCACAAAGCAGAAAGAAAAGCCAGGAGGAGCTACATGAAATTATTAACATTGCTCACATCTAGAGGTAGAAACAGGGAGGTCTTTTTCTTTTTTCAAACCTATTTTAAGATTTGTCTCTTGATTCCACGCGTTTATTTCATGCAGTGAGCAGAATTCTCTCTGGGTGAAGAGTGAATTGATATCTCATTTAGAGGAAGAAGATAGTTCTGTCTTGATTTGCCCTACTTTCTTCATTCTAATGTGCTCATCTCTTTGCCTTTCCCACTGAATATATTTGTTATGTCAGACGCTTTTATGCTAGAGTTAATCTTTCAGTCTTCCTGAGAAACTTGAGCTCCTAGATGCCTTCGGATGAAGTATTATGACCATTTGCAGGATCTTTTGGAAGGAATTCTTGCATGGGATGAATTACAGTCTAAACCACAGGTCAGCAAATTATGTGTGGTTTCTGGGCTGAATCTTGTCCACTCTGGCTCTTTATAAATAAAGTATTATTGGAACGCAGCCACATCCACTCACTTACCTATTGTCTATAGAAGCTACGATGGCAGGGTTGAGGAGCTGAGACAGAGACTGTACGGTCCACAAAGCCAAAAATATTTACTCTCTGGCCCTCTGCAGAAAAAATTTCCCAACCCCTGGTCGAAACCAGTAGTTCTGAACCCTGGCTACAGGGTATCATCTCCTGAGGGGCTTTTAAAAACTGCTGCCTGGGCCCCACTCCCAGAGATTTTGATCTCCTTGACCAGACTTTTTTTTTTTTTTTTTTTTTTTGGTAAAGCTTTCCAGGTGAATCCCAGAGTTGAGAATCCATCGGTCTGGATTGACTGTGATGGTCTCTTCCGGCAGCAGGAATATGACTTTGTGCCTCTGGCTCCTAGGAGCCACCAAAAGTCTGCACCAAAAGTATCTTCGGGTGGTTGGGAGAGCTGGCTTAATCTCCCGTGAGAAAGTGCTGACCCACCCTGAATTCCTGGGTTAGGTGGTGGTGAAGCTTGACCTTATCGGTTATCAGTTTTGCCAACATTCTTTCTGAGGCTTTAGGCCCGTCCCACAAAGACGGCCTTCCATTGGTTACCCAGGAGAGGGGTTTCTCCTCTACTACCTAGGGGAGTGTAATGGCCACAGTCCATCCATTCAACCTTCTGTTTTCCTTCGTGGGTAAGCGTGTTGGAGTTGGCAGGGGAAAAATGGATCACACGCAGCATTTTTCAAGGGTATTAGTTGGCAAGACTCAATCTTAAAGGCGATTGCAGAGCCTATGTCTGTTGAGAGATAATCCCCTAGTCTGCCCTAGAGAGCATTTCTGAGAGAACTCTCAGTCTAAATTTGGTGGGATCTTGTGTTACTTCTGTAGGTCGCCTCTGAGCGGGCTTGTTTGATATTTTTTGTTCCTTTGCTTATGGTGCCTTTAAAAACAAATGTCATGCCCTCCTCTGTTGGCCTGGGTTACTTACGTGCATGCCTTTGTCGCTGCTCTGGTAATTAGTACCTGTCAGCATGGGAACTGTCAGGGCTTGCCATCCTGTCTGCCAGGGTTCTTTTGGCTTCCTTGAGCAACTCCCCGTGGTGCCGATGCCTGGAGGTGCACACCTGGTCCTAAGGGGCAGTCTGCCCAGAGGATGTCTTTGGAGAAGGACTACTGGTCTTTCAAAGCATGTTACCCCCCTGGGGTGATCTTAGGTTCCCACAGCACAGAGGAGGCCTGTGTGTATCAGAGAAACAGGGAGACAGAGACAGACACACCAGCAGACGTGTTTTCCCTTTTCGATACCCTGGGAAATCAAAATCCAAAATAAGTCCTGGGGTCTGCAGCGTCATGAGTGCTAAATGCACGGGCCACGCTCACCTCTTGGACAGTGGGCACTGGGGAGCCCGGGGTCCGTTCCTTCTCTTGTTGGAGAAGCTAATCTGATGGAAGAATCTGGGACATCTGGCCCACAGGAGCCCAAGATTCAGACCGAGGTCCCTTTTTGACTGATGTAGATCAAGGCACTGGAAACTTCGTCTTCGTTCAAGTGGGGAGACGTGACCATCGTCTCTCACAAAGATTTTCCAAGAGTTGATGTTGCTGTGGTCCAGCTAGACTGTAACCTGATACCAAAGCACTACGGTATGCCTGAGTGGGCTCCTTAAGCTGTTTAATAGCTGTGGCCACTCAAGTCTTCAAGAGAGAAGAAAGCTTCAGAGGCGAAGGTCTGGTATTTATCATAAACCTTGAGGTTGGAGACGTGTCTTAACAGAGGCATGATTCTTTTTTTAAATGTCGTGGAGTGCACGCCGTGAAAAATGGAGGCTGGTGTCCTGAGGTGTTCCTTGGACTCCAGAAATGGGTTCCATTAGACCTGCCGGCAGATGTCAGGAACTAAGGATTTGGCTTTGCAAGTTAAATCACATTATTAAAAGTTATGCCAGTGTTCATGACGCTCCTTCGTATTTGAAGATAAATGGACTCACTCTTTTAGGTTCTTGAGTTGCCTCTTCCCTCGTCCCAGTCCTGGAATTTTTAAATTTTAGAGACTGTAGCAAAGCTAACGTGAATGCTGTCTGCATAAGGGAACCCCGTTTTATCATTTGGGATGGTTTCAGCCGTAAGTCACAGAAAAGACCTGCTCCTTGTCACATAAGAGCCCTTCAGCGGTGGGGTGGGCCCCCCCATGGGTGCATTCGGTGGCTCAGGGATACCATTTCTCTATCGGGCTCCCCCTCCAGGACTCGGTACACCTTGAGTCTCCCCCAGGGGAGGGGTGCACGCCCAGCGAGCCGAGGGTCCTGTTAGTTAGGAAGGAGAGCTGGGGGGCTGGTGGCTGTGTATTTGTCTAGCCGTATCCTGTTATTTCAAGTCTGTCGGCTAATTTTCCCTGTGAAATTGCGCAGAAGAGGACTTTTGTGGCAACGATTTCAGACCGTTACGTTACTGCTGTCGAACGCTGTTGTCAGTTTCCCCGGACTCTGGGAACCCAGAGTTACTTTCTGCCCCACGTGGGAACGACCGCAGGTGGCAGCCGTTGGCGTGGCCTCCCTCAAACGCAGGGTGACGGGTGGACCCATGTGGGGGTGAGCAGTCAGCGAGCCTTGGGCTCATTTGCTTCTTACCTGCATCCAAGTGGAAGTCCCTTTACCTCAGGTCGGGGGGAACGTTTAAGTCCCGGGAGTTCAAGGTGGGGGTTTTGTAGAGATGATTTCTGACTCTTAAGGGCTTTGTTTGGGGCGTTGCTTTCAGTACTGGTCTTAAATGAAGCCAAGGAAGTCAGTCAAGATGGAAGTCGAAGGATTTGGAAATAGACACTCTTTGTCTCGGAAAGAATTCTGTTTTAAAAGTATTTTACTCCGTGTCCTCAAGAGATTACGATTCTAAGAACATTTGAGATAAAGTTTGCAAATGCTTAGCTCCTCCGGATATTTATTTCTAGTAGATTCTAATGGTTTGAAATTCTGACCGTGATAGGGACTATCTTCTTCTTATTATTATTTTAGAGAGACAGGGAGCACACGAGCAGGGGAGAGGGGCGGGGGGGGGGGGCAGAGAGAGAATCTTAAGCAGGCCCTATACTCAGCTTGGAGCCCGATGTGGGGCTCGATCCCACGACCCTGAGATCGTGACCGGAGCCGAAATCAAGAGTCGGACGCTCAGCCGACTGAGACCCCCAGGCGCCCCTGGAACTGTTTTTTTAAAGAGATATCTGAACTGCTCACACTACCTTTGGATGCAGTTCTAATTGAGGGTATTAAACAATCTTGCTGTGTAAGCCCCTTGATGACTTTGAGCCGTCCTCTCTGATGCAAAGTCAGGAAGTGATTTTGAACCAGTCGCTAGCGGTTGGCACCCAGTCATCCGAGTGACAGGCAGCCTTCAGCTCCCAGAGCAGAGGGGTGAAGAGAAAGATGCCGGTGCTGCCGATGGGTTTTCCGAGCAGGTGGAATCAGTGGGAATAACCTGGACGCAGACGAGAGCGGTGCGGGGTTGGCCACAGCCGGGGACAGGGGCGCGCGCCGCCAGCCAAGGTGGGGGCAGAGACGAGTCACTCCGGCACAGGGGCCGACGGCTTCCGAAGCTGAAGAGAGGAGACGGAAGCATCAGGAAACAGCAGTGCAGGGAGGTGAACGGGGTGATAGAAGTTCGAAGCGGCCACTAACTGCTCGGCTGCGGAATCCCTGGAAGAGGTTCTTCGCTGTCCGCACCGCCGGAAATTGGCTGACTGTGCTCGGCGCACAGCTAAACAGGCCTTCGCGTCCTGCTCACGCCAGGTCCCGGCTGTTCATAACGGTGCCGCGTCTGGCCCGGAGCACGCAGCGTGGAAGGACAGCTTTTTCTCGGGCCTGCCAGCTGCTGACACATTGCTAGAAAGTCGTCGTTTTTATTTTATAGAGCTTTACTAGTTGTTTCTCATGCCAAAAATCGTTCATGTGGAGAATACAGATGTGAAGAAAGGAGAAAGAAAACCTTCTGTGATGAAACCAATGAGGATAACCACAGGTAGCTTTGGGATTCTGTCCTTCGAGTGACATCCATGTGTATATGCGTTTGAAAAGGAAGCAAAAACGGATTCATCCTGTATGTACTATTTATCTACTTAGAGCAGTTTTCCATATCATAATCACCGCCCCCTGCCCCCGAGCGTATCTGTGGTTTTTAACCCGAGTAATTTTGCTTTCGAAGCAGTTTTGATTTACCGATAGCCATGTGTTGCCTCGTGTGGAATCACATAGAAGGGCCACATGCAGAAATCAAACGTCAAGATTTGAGGCTGTGAAATGTTAATTCCTTACGAGCCGGTGCCAACTTATAAATTGGAGACTTAGAATTAATTATTGATTCAGAAGTTCCTGTCTGTGTGTATTTATTTATTTTGAAGGATCCATTATAAAATAAAATGTTTTCCTTCCGTTTAGCCTTCTCTGGATATTCAACAAATACAAAGTACGACCCATACCAAATTAAAGCAGAAATAGCAAGTCGTCGGGATAGGGTGAGTAAAAGAGCGCTCCCACAACTAGAAGCCCTGTGTGTATTTTCATGTAGCGTTACTTCTCGTGGCTCATCTAACGGGGGTCGGTGTGTCTAACACTCATATTGTGGTAAAATTTTTAATTTCGTGGATTACGATGATGTTTGGTTTTACCCTTCGCTTTTTTTCTAACAGGAGGAGAAAAGTTTCTTTTTGAAAGCTCAGCCCATCTAACCAAAAGCCACCTGTACCCCTCTGTGTTTTCCCTAGAGCTAGGGTCCTCCTGCCCAATTTGGAAAGACTGGGTGATGTCGGGGCCCGGGCTCCACGGCCTGCTTCCCGATATCAGTGGGTTGCCAGCCTTGACCCTTGGCAGCTTTAGCTTCTCCTGTTCTCCCCTGGTTGCTATATTCCTAGGGAAATCTTTCCCGCAATGGCATTTGACCAGAAGGTTCTGATGCTCCTTCCCTGGGGACACTGGAATTCTTTATGTGGGCCCCGGCCCCCCCCCCCCGTCTCATCCCTTCAGTGCCCTGCCTTGGTCGCGTGGGAAGGGGGACGGTTTTGTTGCGTTTGCAGCAAATCATGGGACACGTCTTGGAAACGAAGCCTCTTGGTGTCTCATGCCCCAAATGCCAGTGTCTCTCTCAGTGCAGCGGTTCCCAAACTCTAGCGTGTCCGAGAAGAGCACCTGGGGAGTTGATTACACATGCAAGCTGCCAGGCCCACCCCCTGAGGGTTTTTTGTTTTAATGTTTATTTATTTTTGAGGGAGGGAGACAGAGCGTGAGCAGGGGAGGGGCAGAGAGAGAGGGAAACAGAATCCAAAGCAGGCTCCAGGCACAGAGCCCGACACGGGGCTCGAACTCACAAACCGTGAGAGCGTGCCCTGAGCTGAAGTCAGACGCTTAGCTTACTGAGCCACCCAGGTGCCCCCACCCCCTCCCGAGTTTTAACACGGGCCTCAGGTGGATCCCCGAGAAGCTCTCCATGTGACGCACTCTCAGGTAGTGGGACCGCAGGCTTCCGGCAACAGTGTTCCCACACGTGGGGTCTCGGAGTAGTAAGTAGAGGGAAGGTGACAAACGCATTAGGCAGTTTGCTGATTGTGATGTATAAATCACTACCTGAAAAAGAAAATAGTTGCCGGTTCCACATAGGTAGGAACCTGTCGGGGACCTGGGATTTTTGTATCCAAGCGAGGCGCTTCTTCCACGCTGGCTGTTCCGTTTGCCCGTGGATGGAAATTCATGGAGAGCCTTAGGTGACCCAGCGCATCGGGAGCGAATCAGGAACTTCGAGGACGATGCTAACACGAATCAGGAACTTTGAGGGCAATGCTAACATGAACAACTAT